ATGAACTTGGACCCCTTCCTCACACCATATGCAAAAATTAACTCAAAGAAATCAAATCCCAAATATAAAATGTGCTGAACAATAAAACTCTTAGGAGAAAACATAGAAGTAAATTTCATGACATCAGATGTGGTAATGGATTCTTAGCTTCAATTCCAAAAGCATGAGCAGGAAAAGAAAAAAAATAGGACACCTTTAAGAAAGTGAAAAGCAAACTACAGAATAGGAGAAGATATTTTCAAACCATACATTTCTGAGGATTCTCATAAATATGTATCTAGAGTATTGGAAGAACTCTCTTAATTCAGTAATAAAAAAAATTAACCCCATTTTTTAATGGACAAAGTACTTGAACGGACTTTTTCTCTGAAGACGAGGTGTAGATGGCCCATACACACATGGAAAGATGTTCAATGCCATTATTCATTAGTGAAAGCCACATCAAAAACAATGATATGCCACTTACATCCATCAGGATGGTTACAATCAAAAAGTGAAATAATAACTGGCAAGAATATGAAGATACTGGAATCTTCATATACTGCTGGTAGAAAAGTAAAATGGTCCAGCTACTTTGAAAAACAGGAAGTTCCTCCAACTGTGTTGCCATATGACACAGCAGTTCAACTTACACCCAAAAGAAATGAAAACATGGTCACACAGAAACTTACACAGGAATGTCTATAGCAGCATTATTCATAATAGGCAAAGGTAGAAAGAACCCAGAAACCCATCACCTGATGAACAGATAAACAAAATGTGGTATATCCAAACAATGGGATCTTATTTGTCCATAAAAAGGAATGAAATAGTGGCACATCTTATAAAAATAGATGAATCTTGAAGACATTGTGCTAAGTGAAAGAAGCCAGTCATGAAAGTCCACATATTAAATGGTTCCATTTATATTAAATATAGCACAACTATAGACCATATTCATCATCACAGAAAGTTCTTTTGGACATTGCTAGTTTGTCCAATAGTAATGGAAAGGCTGGTTATTCTTTAGGCATGGGTAGTTTCTAAAAGGTCCTGAAAGAGTTCACAAACTATTTGAAGTTCGATTCTTAAGGAAGAATCTGGGATGTGGGGAGATGTGACTTCAGAAAGGAGAAGGTGATGTGATAAAAGCATAGAGATTTGAAGATGTCACGCTGCTAGCTAGCTTTGAAGACAGGAAGGGGCGGTGAGCCAAGGAATGCAAGAAGTGCACCTCTAGAAGCTGGAAAGGACAGGAGCGTCTGGAGGGAGTATGGCCCTGCTGACACCTTGACTTTCAGTCTACTGAAATTGATTTTGGAACTCTGACCTCCAGAGCCATAGGAGAATAAGTCGGTGTTGTTTTAAGCCACTAATTTTGTGGCAATCTGTGGCAGAAACTAAAAAACAAATACACAAAGGTTGGAGAAGAGAATCAGCTTTGTTGTCTTTCAAATTCTAGAGGTCACCCACATTCCTTGGGGCTTAACCCCCTTTCTCCATCTCCAAAGTCAGCAGAGACAAGCCAAGTCCTCATATGGCATCAGTCTGACCTCTTCTGCCTCCCCCTTCCCCACTGGTCTCCCCAGATAATCAAAGATAATCTCCCTATTTTAAGGTCAGTTGATTAGCAACCTCAATTCCACCTGCAGTCTTAATTCTTCTTTGCCACGTAAAGTAATATATTTACAGGTTCCAGAAATTAGAATGTGGACAATTTGTGGGTTCATTGTTCTACCTACTACAATGGGTTAATCATCCTTCTAATAAAATTGAAGACACTAAGCAAAACTTTGGCTTGGATCATTGTACATCTCCACTTAGAAATAGAAAAGAGGATAAATATTTGGGACTCTGTGTCTGAATGGGACTGGAATGGAACTGAGTGGGTAAAAGGATTCAAGGATGATTCCAAGATAGGACCTGGGGGAATCACAGAAAGGGTAGGAAATGATAATTCTAGGTTTGAACATTTTAAATTTGAATTGCCTATGGCATTTGCAACTGAAAAAGAGCCAGTTGGCATTTCATGTAGGAGTATATGGAAATGTGAAGCTCAGTTAAGAGTTATGGGTTGAAGATAAATTTGCAAGTCATTTGTATAAGTGGTAGCAAAACCATAAGCATGGGGTTATATTAAACAGGGTAGAAGAAGTGTGAGAAGAAGAGTAGATAGTATTTGAACCCTGGTCTCTCATTGTCTGAAGCCCCTGTTGGTAACTAGTATAATACAGAGACTCCCCAAAGTGCCAGATATAAAGCAGTTGAAATTTTGCAAAGTGCAGAAATGGGGAAGGAGGTGAGGGTGGTAGCAGGCTTGTGGAATGATCAGAGATCTAGGAACTGAGAGAAGCAAGGTTCTAATCTGCACTCTGCCACTAGTTAGTTGCTAACATAAGCAAGTTACTTGAGTTTTCTGAGCTTCAGGATTTTAACTGTGAAATGTGGAGAATAATATTTACATCTACCTACTTAAAGTTGTTGAAAGGATTTAGATATAAAGATGCAGGTAATCTCTGGAAAGTTTAAAGTGCTTCATACACACACATGCACACACACAAAAGATATATATCTGCAGGGATATATGTGTGGGTGTGGAGGAGGTGTTTTCGTAAGACTGAAAAAAGCAACAGAAATGGTCTGCATAATATCACTGGTGTTAAACTAATATATGGCCAGATTAGGACATATATTGTCCTAGAGTGTGTTGACCTTTTGGATAATTTTCTCTCAGAGACTTGAAGAATCTGAAGTTCCTTTCTTCTGTATCCACATAGGAAAACTGATTAAAACTGATTGGGAGTAAGAGTAGAGGATTAATAAAGATCATGAGGAAAGGGTGGGAGAGGAATGAGGAAGGAAAACCAAACAGAAAGTGTTGTTTAAAACCATTTTATGCCATCCATCCTACAGTATGGGAGAATATATTTGTAAACAAAATATCTGACAAGGGGTTAACATCCGAAATACATTAAGAACTCATACGCCTCAACACCCAAAAGCAAATAACCTAATTAAAAAATGGGCAGAGGATATGAAGAGACAATTCTCCAAAGAAGAAATTCAGATGGCCAACAGACACATGAAAAGATGCTCCACATCACTAATCATCAGGCAAGTGTGAATTAAAATCACAATGAGATATCACCTCACACCAGTAAGGATGGCCAGCATTGAAAAGACTAAGAACAACAAATGCTGGCGAGGATGCAGAGAAAGGGGAGCCCTCCTACACTGCTGGCGGGAATGTAAGCTAGTTCAACCATTGTGGAAAGCAATATGGAGGTTCCTCAAAAAACTAAAAATAGAAATACCATTTGACCCTGTAATCCCACTCCTTGGAATTTACCCAAAGAATACAACTTCTCAGATTCAAAAAGACATATGCACCCTTATGTTTATCTCAGCCCTTTTTACAATAGCCAAGATATGGAAGCAACCTAAGTGTCCATCAGTAGATGAATGAATAAAGAAGAGGTGGTACATATACACAGTGGAATACTATTCAGCCATAAGAAAGAAACAAAGCCTACCATTTGCAACAACATGGATGGAGCTGGAGGGTATTATGCTCAGTGAAACAAGTCAGGCAGAGAAAGACAATTAGCAAATGATTTCCCTCATTTGTGGAGTAGAACAATGAAGCAAAACTGAAGTAACAAAACAGCACCAGACTCACAGACTCCAAGAAGGGACCAGCTGTTACCAAAGGAGAGGCGTGTGGGAGGGCAGGTCAGGAGGGAGGAAGAAGGAGACTGAGGGGTATTATGTTTAGCACACATGGTGTGAGGGGTCACGGGAAAAACAGTGTAGCACAGAGAAAGCAAATAGTGAATCTGTGGCATTGCACTACACTGATGGACAGTGACTGCATTGGGGTGTGGGTGGGGACTTGATAATATGGGTAAATGTAGTAACCACATTGTTTTTTCATGTGAAACCTTCATAAGAGTGTATATCAATAATACCTTAATAAAAATTTTAAAATAAAGTTAACATGAGAAACAAAAAATAAGACATTAGAAATAAATACATGTTTGTCTGTAGAAAAAGGAAAAAAAAAACATTTTATGCCGTCATCTAGGTATCCTGTGCACGTAGCCATTTTGTAACAGCAAGATGTTCTTCCTGGCAGTGAACTGAAGCTCTCCCCTCAGACATTGTAGTCTTAGCAAAGAGATTAGGAACCATAGAAATACCAATTTGTAATGGAGATTTGTGTATTTGTGACTCAGCAGCCTCCAGTCATCCTTTTCTTGACAATAGTACCCACAGTTCTTAAAACAAACCTTTCTTTTCCTTCTTTCAGATCTGAAAGTTTGAGTGATATGGACCCCCTGACCTGAGAGACAGTGATGCTCTAGGGACAGGAATGCGTTCAGGGATAAGCATGGTCAAATTAGGGTAAATGAGAGCCAGGCTCTTTGATTTAGTTCTGGTTGTTAGTGAAGAGATGGCTCTCCTTTTCTGATGAATTTCTTCTTAGGTTGGGAGCTCGATGCTGCTGGCAGCCTTTTACCACCATTGGTACCTGCCTGGGAATGGAGCCAACAGAGAGGGAAATTGACAGTTGCTGAGGAACCTGGTTCTAGTGACTTTATCTAGGCCTGTTTTTCTGTTGTATTAGCCAACAAATAGTTATTATTCATATTAAGCTATTATAGGTCTGATTTCTTGTCAGTTACAACAAAAAAGCATCTCTCTCATTGGCGAGATGGCCAATATGCATTTTCCTTTCCTACCAGAGTAATGCAACTATGGTGACCAATTGTTTAGCATTTGAAGTCCTGTGTCTCATGTAAGCCCTAAATTTTGGGCAGACCAGGATAGCTGTTCCCCGCTAGGAGGCACATGGACTGCCAGGAATGAAACCTACATTTTCCAGCCTCTGATAGCCTGGTATGGCCATATGATTAAGATCTGGCTAGTGGGAGGTAAGCGGAAATAGTCGCACAGCTTCCAGGAAATGCCCTTAAAAGGAGAGAACATGCTCTCACTTTCTTCTTTTCTATTGGCTGGAATGTGAATATGATGACGAGACTTCCACCAGTAACCTTGGGAATGGAACCACTTCTGGCTGAACAACAAGACAGAAGGAGTCTGGCACCCTGACACCATGGAGTGCTATACAACTTTGGACAGACAACCTTTAGACATCTTGAATGTGAGAGAAATGAGCATCTATCTTGTTTAAACCTCTGGGGTTTTTTCCGATAATTGACAGATAAATCTAATTCTAATTCACTGATACAGTGTATAATTGAAAGAAACCCTTTTTATGTGTGTCTGCCTCTCCAAACATTACACTGCCTATAAATTCATCTATGAAGCTCAACTCTCTGATATGGCCACAATTTCAATATGAGAAAATGTTCATCGTTATAAATATGTTATTGGGAATTGCCAGTAGAAATGAGAGAGATAAGTGGACTTATTTATGATAGATGTTAGAAGTGGATGTTTTCTCTTTACTAGTTGACCTCCACTCCTCCTCCTCCTAAAAGAATATCGATTTTGTAGAGGTTTCCATTTCCACCCTTCTTTGACACACTCCTCACAAGTTTGGATTGGAAGTTGCAATGGTTAGTTTTATGTATCAATTTAGGTAGGCTATGGTATTCAGTTACCTAATCAAGTACTCAACTAGGTGTTGCTATAAAGTAGTGTGTAGATGTGATTAACATCCACTATCAGTTGCCTTTAAGGAGAATATCCTTATTATATATATAAATTATACATATATATTATTGTTTTAAGTTTGTAATTATTTTAATTTTATATTAAATGTCTATATATACATACATACATACACACATTTTTGTATAATACACACACACACACATATATATATATATACATATATATATATATATCCCCTCTTAGTTCCATTTTTCTGGGGATCTCTGACTGATACAGGCTTGATCAGTATAAGGATAATTTTAACCCTTTGTCATTGATTGTTCTGGGCCAGGCATGTGACCAAGATTGAACTGATGAAATGTGAGGAAATATTTGATCTGCAGTTCTGGAGAAATTCTTCCTTACAATTCTGTGAGACCTTCAGTAGTAACTGCCTCTCTCTTCCTCTGACAGTAGTTTCCTTTGATATGAGACTTGGGAGAGCTGACACCCCTTTCACTGTCAAGCTAAGGATGAAGCCAACACACAAAGGCAGAGCCAAGAGACTTGCAGAGAAATGGAGCTTGGGCTGCTGGTTTATGTCAGCGCTGAAGCCTGTCTTAACTCTGGGATTCGTTTTCCTAACCAGGTACCTCCTTCATTGGTTAGGTTGTACTTGGATTTTATGAGAGCTGCAGCCAAAATTATTCAACCTAATACAATGCTTTCTTTAAGGTAAGTTCTTTAGGATATTAAGAAGCTGATGTGGCTGATCTGCCAGTTGGAAATCATGTTTAGTTTAAAATTATGCTGTAGTTTAAAAGTGTTTGCTTATTAAGAATTAAAAACTGGTAATATAAGTCAAAGTGTAGCTTTTAACAGAATCTTTGCAAGTTAAATAATAATTATTTGAAGGCTTCAGTGTGTTCTGTTAATTTGTTTTAGAAGTATTAAGATTCTTAATATTCTAGGGAACTTCTAATAATATGCTTTATCTTTAAATGTCAGGTCCCTGACAAAGCACAGAACTTGGAAATTATATAATATTGCAGCAATAGTACATACTTACCAGAATTTGTATATCTGGCAGATATGTCTTGCAGGTAATACAGATATCATTAAAAGCATTAAAGGAAATCATAAAACAGGACTGCCCATAGGATATGGAAAAGGTTTAGTTATTGTAAAGGTAGACAAAATGGAGTTAACATTGACAACGAGAGGAATTAAAATAGAGTCAGGAAGGCATTAGGTAAGTAGGGTCTATGTATGTCCTCTTTTCGGGAACTGGTTATTTTTGGAAGAATGTTGAAGTTCACATTCCTCGAACCATAAATATCCTGGACAAACGTGCTGCCTGCAATAAAATAGACTTTTGCCTAGCAAATAGCCTAAGCAACCAATTATGTATAGCTAAATGTAGGAACAATAGCTTTAGCCGATGGTAATTCTTTCAAACAGTTCATGTAAGCCCCCTGGGAATTCCCCCCTTAAAAACCTGTTGCTTTTTAAAAGCCCTAATCCCTTTTCCCAATTTGGAGCATGTATTTGGGTTTCCTCCTGAACCATATTCCAGGATTGCAATCCCTAAGACCCCAAATAAACTCAACTAGTTGTTTCACAGCTTTGTCTTTCCTTGGTCGATGTTATATTGCAGAGTAGAGGAGGGTATACAGTTTCTTGTGAGGTGAAATGAAACCTAGAAAACCTAAATGACCTAACAGTATTTCTGTTCTGTCCCAGAATGAGTTTATTCTAAAGCTTAAATTATATAAAGTTCTTATTAGTTACAACTCCTTCAATTATAATAACTTTAATTTTGAAGTCCTTTCGTACAGAGCAGCTCTTATGCCGACAGAGGAATTTTCTCTTTTTCAGCAAATATAAAATTCAAAAATGAATTGCCAATTGCTTTTTTAGATGAATGTAAAAAAGTACATTAGCTAAAAGTCTTTTTTAGCTTGAGTTTACATAGAACCTCTAAAATCAGTAATACTGAATTCTTGCTCTCCCTCACCAATCTGTTCCTCCTTAAGATTTGTCTGAGTCAGTAAATGTCACTGCCATTGGCCAAGTAACTCTGGACTCTTTCTTTCTTCTCCATCTCTCACATCCAATCCGATCACCAAGTCCTATTGATTTCTATGGTGTATCAAATTGAGTCACTCATTTCTCATTTCTATTTCTCCCCATTCCAGTATGAATTACTTTGTCATTAGAGAACGATATGGTCTCCCAACTGAACTGCCCACTTTCATGCTTGTGTCATTCCACTCTCTTCACAGCACCAGAGTGAGGTCATTAAAATACAATCGGATCATATCACTCCCTTGCTTAAAATGCATCAATAGCATTTTGTTCCACTAAAGGTAAAGTCTATAATCTTTAACATGGCATCTCAGGCCCTACCTGATCTGACCCTACTAACCTATAGCCATCCTGTGTTGTGTAACTTTTTCTTTTTCAAGCATCAGAATCTGACTTTTAATTAGTTTCAGGAAAAAAATAAAGGAGACTGTTAGGGAAAGTTTGTGTGCAGGGAGGTAAAGAAACCAAGGCCTTCCCCAGGGACCTCAGCAGTAGTAGGTGGGTTTGTCTCCCTGGAGTGCTGACATTAATGAGATTAGTCTTTCTCTGTGCTTCTTTCTTCAATATTTCAAACTGCCAGGAGAAAGAATGTGATCAGCTTGGCTTCTGTCAGAGTTGTACCCTGAATCTATTTATTATCTCCCCTTGGATCTATCTCCACAAAGGTAGGTAATATATATATTACCAAATAACTTGTGATTGGCATAGAGTAGGTGCTCATTAAATATTGACCTTATGATCACTTCATTGAATAATTGAATTCACCATGGCCAGAAGACAGGGTCAGTTAATATAGACATGGCCAATCTGGGCTCACTCCAGGGTTGGTTGTGAATGAGGCACCCACCTCAAGAGAGAACCACTGCATGTGCTCTTCAGCCTCACCTTTCTCCACTTTTCCCCTCAACTTGGAGCCTTTAGGCCTTCTTTCATCCCTCTAAACTGCCAAATTCAGAGTCTTTGCGTATGCTATTCACTGTGCCAGGCATGTTCTTCTCCACTGTGCTCTTTATAGATTTATTGCTTCTCAGCTCCAAATTTATCCTTTTTGCCTGTTTTATGAAAATACATATGGACCTTTAAAATATTTTGTTGTTGTTCGCTGTTACAATGTTAAACTGTCAGTAGAGGAACTAAAGAGACATGGTAGGAGACAAAGGTCTTCTGATTTTGAAGTCCTTTCTTGGCAGGCTTCTGCAGCCTGGGCAGCTTCTCTGGCACCAGGACCCCACTATACATGTATCTTCCCTAGAACAAGATTCCTGAAGTGCATGGCAGCCAGCCACTTCTGCTGACACCCATCTTGGGCAGCTTTATAGCAGAGTACCTCCTGTGAGATACCTTGCCATGAGCAGATTTCCCCAGCATCCTGGAGGGCAGACTTCTGGAAAGTTCCAGAAGGTGGAGTTCCAACAAGTTCCACTGGTGTGTGGCTACAGTGACTTCTGCCAGCCAGCAACCCATGACTACTCAAGGTCACAAATCTCGAACAAGGTCTGGATTTCTACCCCAGGGGCAATGGCTGCCTCTTATCTCTGCTATCCTATTCTTGTTACTAGTCAATCCATTGTGACTCCAAACTCCTGTTACAGTTAATAATTATGTTAAGCAGAAAAGTAGATATGAATGGGTGGAGAGAGAATAAAGCCAGTAAAGCTCACTAAAAGGGACTCTCAGAGTTAACTAGACAAAACCAGAGAGCCAGAAAGGACTCACAGAGTTAATGAGTTAATTATTTGAAGTTTCAAAGACCAGGAACAATTTGGTATGTCCAGATATTCCCCAGATAGAGAAAAGTCTATCAATGACTTCTCTGCCCTACCCCATGAAGTAGAGTAGGGAAACAAGACAAGGTCATGTCATTGTAAAATCTACTTAGCCTGCAAAAAGACCCAGCTTATTCTTTAACTTAACCTACATGCTATTTTTCCTCTTCTTCCAGCCCGTTAATCAAGTAACTTTGTAACCAGGGCAGTAGACAAATCTCCAAAGTATAAATAAACCTATGTGGACAAAGAGTGCTGAAATCCAAACCATCACAGTCACCTAAATAACCCTATTATTAAGACAAAACTTCAAAAGAATAATTAATCGCCTGTATACTTCATGCCTTATGCTGACTCCTACCTAAAAAGCTCTATAAAACCCCAAATCCTAAACCCTTAAGCACGCCTCCTCTCTCAGGTTGCCCATACTCCCCTTTCTTCAAGTGTGTCACTCTCCCCGTTTTATTCCAGACAAGTAGGGGCAACTATGAGAGCCCTGTTTTGGGCTCAGAAGTTCCTTGTCATTTGGGTGACCCAGACAGGACTGCAGCTGTACAGTCTTGCTCTTTAGTAGCCTGCCTGAAAATCTCCTTTCTTTGCTTTTGGGAAGTTCTCAGAACGTAATCTCACTCTATCCAGTGCTCTGTGGCTCCCCCAAATCCTGGAGTGGTATGGACTTAGTCCCCACGCCATGTAGATTCAAGCAGACACTGGACACTAGGTGACCCTGGCTTTAAGAAGAGGCAAGGGATTTTCCCAGTGCTGAGCAGGAGTTCAATGAGCTTCCCCTTCCTCTCTGCTTTATTCAAGTAAATCTGCCTTTGTCTACCTTGACTCTAGCCCACTCCTCCCTTGGAGTGTATTCAAATAAAACTTTTCATTCTGCTTCACTACTATGTCTCTGCCCTTCAATTCTTTGTTGTGGTAGGGACAAGAACTGAGGAAAATAAACTCAACCCGCAACAATTCTTTACATTGAATTTTCCCTGTTCAAATTACTGTGTGATTTCTCTCTCCTGTTGGACCTATTCATGTAGGTTTCCTAAAGTAAAAATAACCATCTATAAAACTGGAGAAAATTCCTCATATTTCCTATTCTCTAGGACAGGGTTTCTCTCTCTTTAAGACTTTCTTCAGTGTGCAGTGGTGAGGGTTGGCTTTTACCTGTTAATTATCTATGGTGAGACAGTCTTCTACAGGTGCTTACTTTGATACGATCGTGGAAAAATCACGGCATAATGTATTCTAGGGTTTGGAGTTGTTAATAATTGAATACTGTCCAATTTCTTCATCTGGAAATTAAGGCTGTACTATATGCTCTCATCCCTTCCAAAGGGATCTCTGAAGACATGCATGCACTTGAGTACCAATTGGGAATAATTTGCAGCATTAAGTATGTTTACTGCTGAAAGCCCACAGTTGTTTAATGACTCGTTGGAATTGTTAATTTTATTCAAAATATACACTTAGTGAGGTTTGGTGTTTTGAGGTGTTAAATACTTGTTTCAATTCTTTGCCCACATTGGTCATATAATGCAACTTTCCTGTCTTTCAGCTTCCTGATTAGAGAGTAATATACTGACAAGATAATGTGAAGTTTCTGTTCAATTAATTAACATTTTCTGAGTACTTATCATGTGCCAGGCACTGTGGGAGGCACTGAAGAATACATGATTGTTGTCCCTATGTTTAGGGTGGATTGAGGAGGAAGAAACTGGTGTTACAAAGGTCAGTTAGAAACCCATTGTGGTCAATCGCTTATAAATCACAACACACTGTTTCCCTACTTTGGGTATTTCCTATTAAATAAAAGACTACTTTCCATAAGAAGTAAAATAAGATGGAGATGATTCAAGATGTACTGTGTCAAATCAAAAAATGGAAAAACTGAGTCAAAGATTTGTTTGACTAGAGGGAGGAAAATAGGGAATGTAAAATGTAAATTAGATTCGTTGACTAAGTGCTTTGTAACTCGTAGTTGAGAGAAAGAACTGCACAACAGTGTGCGCTTTAAGAGAGGGCAACAAAATTTTTGTATTTGCAAAATCGTGGTACTATTGGACACGACACGGTTAAAGCAAAATTAAATGTGGGCTAACCAATGCGTATCAGAAACAAAACAAACCCAGCTGCTAAAATTAAGATTTAGGAAAGTGACATTCAGCCATGTAGACTGGGAACTCCTAGTGTTTGGAGCTCCTCACCCAGACGCGCAATAACCTCTGAGACTTGGATGTGCTACAAGGGGGCCGTCAGATTTTACATTTCTGATCAGAAGATTATAATCCTTTTATTTTAGGTAACCTCGCTATCAGGCCCAAACCGGACAGTTCTATTGCCAGACATTCCTGCCAGCTCTGACTACAACTGGAAAGCGGAGTATACATGGGAAAGCTTAGCCCTGGCCGCGGGGCGCCCAGCCAGCCAGCTAGCAGCTGCCACGCTATCTGCCCTACGCCCTGCGGAGAAAGCTGCCTTCCCATTGGGAGAGAGGCGTGTCACAACGTCACACCCGCCCCTAACGACATCTTGCTGCTCGGGATTATGGGAAGTAGAGGAAGAAAGTAACCCAGAACAACATTTCCAAGCCTGGGCCGGCCTTCTTAAGGGGCTGAGATCCCCTCCCACCAACCAGCCGAGCTCCGCCCTCAGACTCCGCCTGAGCCGGGAATCAGGTGACCCAGGGCCAGCGCAGTCACGTGGCTGGGCGCGCCCGCCAGTTGTGGCCATGGCGGCCGCAGGCTCCAATGTGGTGAGGCGAGTGGAGGAGCTCGGTGACCTGGCTCAGGCTCACATACAGCAACTTAGCGAAGCCGCCGGCGAAGATGGTGAGGGAGCGGAAGAGAGGGAGGCGGGCGGACGGACGGTGGTTCAGAGCTGGCACTCGCCAGCCGTAAGTACTGGAAGCTGCGGCCTATGGTCCGAGCGGATCCCAGGCCAGAGCTACAGAAGGTGTTGAGCTTCTGACCCCCGCTGCCCCGTCAAATGTCCACCTCCAAAACTCACATTGCCATAAACCAAGGCATTTGCGTTCAAACCGTAGTTTTCATAACCCATGGAAACCTCTTACATCTCAGTAAAATCAGTGCTGCTTGCCTTTAACTGTCTCGTTAGCGATTGGGAGAAGGGCAAAATCTGCACAGAAGTACACACACAAGTTTAAATGAGTAGTTAAAGCTGGATGGTAATACTCAAAGAATGGTGGTTTTGCGTGCGGTAAAGATAGCCAGGCGTATATAACAGTTCCACTTTTCATTGCTGCATTGTAAATTTATGTCTTGTGTTTTGGATTATAAACTCAACTGTAAACAGTGTCTACAGAAGAGCTTTATTTACATTGGTATAATGTAGACCATTCTTTTACATACATCACGTTAATTCTCACGAGGGCTCTGTCAGTATTAGAACACTTTTGGAAATGTCTAAGCGGTTTTCTTAGGAAAAACTGGCTTAGAGAATTACCTTGACTTTTGATTTTAACTCTACTTCTCTTTTGTTACTTCTCAGCTGCTAGAGGTTCTACATTATTTCATTTTGAATTTTGAACCTTTACTACAGATAGGTTTTTAAATTCTTGTGGACCGATCCATTGTCATTGGACTAGGTAGTAAGAGTGGAACATTTTCCTAGGTGATTGAACAGTTGGTGAATTTACTGAATAGGGTCCCCGTGAAATAACTATTTTAGGTAAAGATCATTTACTGGATTGTTTTTTCTTAGGATTTTGTTCATCAAAACCCATACACCACCCTGAAGCCTACTTTTTTGGTCTGTGGTAAGTGAATCCCAGGATTCGCACGAGTAGTTAGTTCATGCACAGGAGCAGCAGTGTACCTGAGTTACCTCTAAATAAGCCATACAGCACCCCACTCAGCACTGTTTGAACCAGTCTAAATGATCTCCATCCATTCAGCACCATTTGAACTAATCTAAATAAATTGAAGAATGTTTTTCCTCATTTATCACTGAACTCAAAAGCCTTTCTCATCTTCCCATGAAAGAGTTTTTTTTAATTCAGTCTAGAATAAGGGCTGGAAATAAAAATAAAGTGGTATATATTCATGTTTGGAGGCTTTGTAAAGTTCTGAAAATTTACTTATGTTATAATGATAGTGGTACACATTATTAGCTTTAACATTAATACCAAGATTTTCTAGTTTTATGATGTAAATTAAAACATCTTGAATGTATTTGAATTGAACCTGGCATTCTTTTCCCACACAACAAAAATAATACATATTCAAAATGTGTCCTTTAATGTAACAACTGTATATTTATATTAGGTTTTAGGGATTGATAGTTCCTGTTGTCTTCTTCAAATTAGATCAGATACATCCAGACATTATTCCATTCTAAGAATGCCCTCCTTTTTATTTCTGGTCAATTTTTTTTCATTTATTTCTCATTGTACAAGCACAATATGTTTACTGTATGGAAGTATGCAATGAGAGGGATTTTTTTCCATGGATTCTATAGAATCACTTTTGTGTTTACTTTGCCAATCATTACTTTGAATGGTTACAGTAAGAACACTGCATTCTGTAAAAATTTTCTAAAATGTGAGCCATCACCCCTGCCCCATAGTTACATCATGAGTTCACATGAGATACTCCTTCAGCAATGATTTAGTGAATTCAGTCCAAGTTTTTAAATTTAAAATAATCCTACAAATTA